AACAATTATTTAATAATTTTATCATAACTATTGCTTATGCGATTTAAAGAAATTTTACAATGACATCAAAAATAATTAATTTACCTAAAAAACAATCGCTTAATCAGATAAACAAAATATAATTAAAATATATAACTTGAACAAAAAATTTTTACAATATAATCTTTTATGTTTATGTAATTTTCATAAAAATGTAACTAATAATTTTAATAATTAGTATTATACGATTCAATAAAAAAAATATAATTATTATTCAATTAATATGAAATGTAACGGTTTTTGTCTTAATTAACCCAAAAATAAAAAACTTAATGAAATATTTATCATTAATGGGAAAGAATGGATTGTCACATAAGTAAATTTATAGTTTTTATTTAATGATTTGCCACATAGGTATATATTAGGTGTTATTTCATGGCTTGCTAGCAATTAATATATTGGTTCAAGTGAGAATTGTGCTCAATGAAAAAAATAAGAATACATCTCGATCATTAGATCGGATGATCTAATGACAAAAAAAAAAAAAAAAGAAGATAAAAAAATTATATCTTTATTAAAGGTAATTTGGTAATTTTTTACACCCATTGACATGTGGGCCCCACCTGACACATCACATCTCTCTCATTCCCTCTTTCTCCCACACACACACACCTACAGACACACTCTACAAACTCAACACACGCACCAACATACACATCAGACGCACACACACAGAGACACATACACACACAGACAATGGCACTCCAGCCCACAACCATCGCCTGGTTGCCTCTGCCTCACCCAGCGCCGCCCTTGCCATCACCCAATCCCGCCGCATGCCATAATCGGTATGTCACTGTCACCAACTTCATCTGTCCGAATTTTTATCTTCTCCTCTGCCGACAATTTTACTCTTTTCCTCTACGGGCGGATCATATCCGGTCATCACGCTCTCATGTTCTCCGGCCTCAACGAATAGTATAGAAGCAGTTTAAATGGTCGGACGACCGTGACCTGTGTTTTTTAAGACGGGCGACGAGTTCGACCGGATCCCGTTGAATATCGAGCTTGACGACGGTCGATTTCAGGCTTGCCGCTGCCAACAGGATGCGTAGTCGACAAGAAGATGGAGCGCCAGAGATCGACCAGATTGTTTGACGAGAACTGACCTATGGCTGCTGGAGTTGATATTTTGATAATTAGATATTTCATAGGGATTTGATTGCAAATTCATAAATTTGGATTAAATGTCAATTTAGTCCTTGATTCAAATATATAATATAGTAAAACTTGTACATGGAGGTGTTGGATATTTATTTATTAAATGTCAATTTTGTCCCTGGGTCAAATCTATAATTTTTTTTTTTAAAAAAAAACCTTTATAAGAACTATTATTCTATATATATTTATATACATATATATTATAGTAATAAATAAAAATATAAAATAAAAATTGTTAAGCAAATACGGTACATCAAACTATACGATATAGTAAACAGATAGAGCGCAAGTACCACCTAACACGAGATATCGTTAGATGAGGGAAAGTCATTGTTGACAAGATAGCGTCAAAGAACAATCTAGCAGATCCTTTTACGAAGAGCCTATCGACGAAGGTCTTCCACCGACACTTAAAAGGAATGGGAGCCAGACGATGGCGACTAGATAGATTAGGCTTTAAGAATTAGATTGAACGATGATACACTTAATAATAGCCGAAAGCTTTATAGATCACAAGTGGGAAATTTTTAACGTATATTGTAAAAGCTCAGCTTCAGTTTCTGACAATACCATTTTGAATGACAATTATGTTTTAGTCAAGTATGTGTGTTTGCAGTTTATTTATTAATGTGAGCGTAAGTTCCTTTATTTTACACCGTAGATAATATGGTTCTATGTGTCGAACAAAAAGATCATATTATCAGTTACTTGTAAAATATAAAAAAAAAATGATTCACGACCTAGACGGAATTGAAGTATCTGTTGTGAAAGGTGTGTAATTTTGACTCAATTGATCTTTAATTGATGAATTACGCTAGTACATCTTAGGGTGTATTGAATGGACCAACAAAGGATAAAATTATTTTATACTGACCAAGTGAATAATCTAAACCTCAATAATTGATGCGTTTTCTTAACCCGTAAGACAACAAACAAGCATATGTACTCAATACTCATACATTTGATTTATCAAGAGTGATTCCTATTTTAATTAGGATGACATACTTTGTATTTTGGTCAATAATATTGTTTACATGATGCACCGTTGAAATTGTTTACAACCACTATGTCCTAGTCCGTTGGGTTGATTATGTCCCCTAAATTAACTCGGGACAGCTCGGTCGGCTCAGTTGGTTCGAACAGCTCGGTCGGCTTGGACTCGTTTTCCTAAGTTTCGTAATAATGGACCCATTCAATACCAAAAAGACGAGAAAAATACGAAAAAAGCACAAAAATACAAAAGGAGAAGAAAAATGCACAAAACACACTAAAATGGACCGATCAACACTAAAACGAACCTAAAAAGACTTAACTAAGGCACATAAAATATACGAAAATAAGCAAAAATATACAACAAACAAGATCTCTTATACCAGCCAACGGATGCTCCCATCAGAGTCACTAGTAGCACAAGAATATAAAAAAAGAGAATAAAAAAGGAATAAAAAATTATGCTTGAAAAGAGTAAATCGAAGTAGAATGATTTCTGGAGTATGGGGATGAAGGGAGAAAAATGAAAAAGAATTAAACATTCAAATTAACAGAAAAAAATAAAAGGAAAAATACTTACTCATCGACATGATTTCTTGGTGGTTGAAAGACTGCTGTGGTCGATGATGGAATAGCGGTAGTGAGAACTGGGGATTTTGCAGAAGGAAGCCCCAAATAAAGTATATTGAATAGTGATTTTCTTAAATGTGGAAAAATAGAAAAAATAGGGCAAGGGTCCTATTTGTAGGTGAGCAGAGAAGAAACGCCCAAAAAATGAATGGATGTGATTAGAAAGCCAATTGAAAGGACATGTCAAGCGGGACCATTATTTTAAGTCAAAAGAATGGAGGAGATCAAACATGAAAGGACAAATTGAGCAGAACCATTGGATCAAGGTCCAAGTGAACAAATTAGATTGAGAGGGTAACTGAAAGGGCAACGCGCTTACAACTGTTGGATTAAAGGGTAATTGGACGGACGACATTAATGCAACATTTAATTGGTACACTGCACGAGGACAACAAAGGTGATGAGGTAGTTACGTCTAAAGAAAATTTTGACTGATTTAATCTAACAATAAAGAGATTTTAAATTCGAAAACTCAAGACCTCAGTAGAAGGTCAAGAACATTGTTTCAAAATTAAATAAAAAAAAAAGCCTGAGTGAGGTGGTTGATTGGACAAGGTATGAGCTCATTAAGCGAGACTAAATATAGTCGAATTTACTCTTAGATTTAGTTATCCTAACACGACTACAGTTGGGGAACCAGATGATGTAGGATACTATACTAGGTCAACTTGACCTGGGAAACCAACTTCCCGAAACAGGTGAACATGCACATTGATGGGAGATAAAAAGCTATAGATCTTCTCAGGTCAACAAAGACGCCATAGGAATAAAGATCGCCGACTGGTCGAGCTAGGGCCCTCGGATGACCTGGTAGAAGCTCGCCCTGAATGCACGCAAGTCGATGGATCAACAAAGGAAACAGAATGCAAGAGCCTAGTGTGGGAGGCAATCTACCTAAAAAGAAGTCAGGTTGGCTGCACGATTAGACCGTCTAATAAGGCAGACTAATGTAAAAGAAGAAATATAATTAAAATAAGAACTACAAGTAGATTGGACCACGTGACCTAATAGAAGTGGAATGCTTCGGCATATGGGCAGTACAAACGGGAAGTTCGAGTAGTCCATCCAAACAAT